ACAGAAAGATAAAATAAAACATAAATTCAATAAAACGTCCATTTATAATTTGTACTAAATAGATATTTTAGCGACTAAACAAAAGAAATATGGACAAGCTGGTCTTACATCCAGGCGAAGAATTTAATCACATGAGTCAACATAGCGGCCGGTATTCCGATGATATCTAGAGACGTTCATTGGCGGCACACGAGCCGAACAAATTGAAAAGGTTGTGTGCGAACACAACAAATGTTACAAGTCACAATTGAAATTTCTAAAATACTTACTGACATTTTTCTTAGTAGGAGCACGTATTTCTCCACGGAGGATGTCACGTCTAATTGTGTCAAAAATGTACAATATTGGGTACGAACGTGATCCCGTTCTCTTTAAGTTAACTGTTATTAGTGAATAAAACATACATCAGGAAAAAAGCTTTCTAAAGAAAATAAATATTCTGCATCAATAGAAAAAGAGACGTTAGAAAAATAAAGATTGCCACAAGCTTTTGTCTAAGCTTTCGTTTAGACAATAGGACAGTGCAGCCCGTATCAAATACCGATAACCGATGAATGTCACTATATCAATGAGTCACTCAATCATTCATCAATCATTAGTCAGCGTCTACAGCTAACCTTTCAATATAGACAATGGTAAATCATATGGAACATCGTTACTGTGGTGTGTAAGCAAAGAATGTTATGCCTTGTAACGTTTATTCACATCAGTTATTTTATTAGGCACAATTACTTAAACAACAGTGTACTAAAAATAATGGAACATTAGATTGAATAGGTTAAATAATGAGATTTTTTCAATACTTTGTCGTAGATTTCACTTAATTGTAACAAACGTTTCTCTAATGTATAATACATCTACTTCGATGCCGGCCTAATTGAATGGGTCGCAATTAGCAGATGCTCGGCGTTCACCATTAGTCAGCGGTGACACGGCATAGAGAGACGATAGAGAGGGGCGCAGATGTCGCTGGCGATTGTTTGCAAATAACAAAGTGAGCGAATGGTTCCGCAACAGTTTCTAATTGTGCCACGAGAATGCGTAATCTAACCGGTCCCATTCGACATCACGTCGTGCGTCTCTGGAGCTACACAAAAGGGATTTGAGTGGACTGGCGTGAGCGCATTCTTTTTTTTCTTCGTACACATTTTGATTTATTTATGTCACCCAAAACGTGTCCTGAGTTTTAACATTTAATCTAGGAAAATAATATATTTTACTTTTTTCCTTACAATATTTAGGGGTTTATCAACTACCTACGCTAGTAGACTTGGCTCCCTTTAATACTAAACTAATAATAAACAGTAGTACTTTAGAGTATAATAAAAAAGCTTGCAATTTTAAACACACCACGTGCCAATTCTGTTTCCGCTGTGAGTCCCGACTGAGTATCACTTCTATTTCCAAATTAATTATTTTCAATTGACATGCCTACACGAGTGAAAAGAGTGTCAACTAAACAACTGTCTACCCTAAAACTGATTCCGAAAACATGTACTCCTAGCGTAATAAATCAGAACTGTCTCCACGCCACTTGTGTTCCACACCCCGTGGGTTCTGAATCACCAGGTGCTGTAGCGAACAAATAAACCCGCGTTGGCTCTAGCGCGCCAAATTGCCCGTGTCGCGATCTGACGCACTACTAAGGGTTCCGTTCACGTGTAAAATCTCTTCAATTTACACGCTACAATTTAACCCAGGGGTTAACACCAGGTAACATAACACTCCTAATGTTTAATGTGCGCATTAAGTTTTATTTTCTACATTATTCGTAAATAGGATTAAGTAAGGCCACGAATCGTTTCACAAATCACCTGCAGTAAGTATGCTATCTGTATTGCGATCGTTCTTGTAGTTGTGAAATTATTTAGTAAACACTATTTGTTTTTGCTTACCATAGTACCATACAAGATTTGAAATCGCTAACGCTGATTACCTGAAACAAAAACAAATGTCATTAGTCATTAGAGTAAATAGCAATACTAAGTTCACGACAAGTAAGTACTTACTTACCTCTACATAGACAAATAAATTACCTACTTTGATAAAATTCTAGTAATAATTGCTTAACTCTAATTCTTCGTCATTTCCGTTTTCGTATATCCAGAGGCCGATCCGTACGATAGACAGGACGTTAATTAGAAAATTATGTGGGAAATTATTAATAGGTCCGGTGTGTTCCCGATTAGATAACAAACTAGTCCATTAGTCGACAAGGACAAAGTCTGTCCATAGAGTGTGGATCAAAGAGTTATAGAGTTTGTGGCTTTTGTTTTAAAGTTCATAATGTACTTTATAAGTATAATCCGAAAAGTCCTTGGTGCATCGGAGGTGAGATAAAGCGGTAGCGAACAATACGGCCGTCGCTAGCGCAGCGGTCTGGGGGCGGGTTTGACGCGTGGTTGAGGAATGATCAACCGCGTGGAAATGACGACTTAATGGATTATATGTGTCCGCTGACACCAAGATAAGTGTCGCACCGGTATCTGACCTGTCGCTGGAGATTAGGTACCGAAATTACAAAAATTAATAACATAATGGAAATCGACTACGAAATGATTTTACACACTGATGGACTCGGCCGATAAAAGGCAGTAAAGTAAACGGCGGCGACGCATACATATGTATAAGAACCTGGCTGTAGATGATGTTGAACCTTATTTCGAGAATACAAGCTTTAATGATGGATTTAAAGGAAGCTAAGGGCACCTTTTTGAAACAGTGAATCCTAGTACTAATACTCTCATTAAAGTAGAATAAACACTAGTTAATATTAACTTTTTGTTTTTCTTTCAGAGCATGTAAGCATCTTAGATGATTCATTGGTAAGTTATCCACACCGAAATTGCATCGTGTCCACGCAAACAATCCAACGCCCTGGCAGTTGCTTGTCAGCTGATGCATTAGTAAATGGTAAATTGAATATTGAAACCTTTGTCATAACGACCGATGGTAAGCTTCGAATGCACATTAAATAGCACCACAATGACTGACGATTTACCGCCAATCTGTTCTTTTATATACACAAGAACGCCTCGCCACTTATGACAAAAAGTCGAAGGAGTGATCTCCCGCTGGCCTTTTGTAGTAAATGTGTCTAGGCGCGATCTGGACAAACTACCCGTGGGACTGGCTGTGAAATATCGAGTCGGTGTCATAGCGGGACGGATACGATTCCTATTACAAAGCTATTTACGCTGTTTACATAAAGAAGGTGAGCCGCGAATTCTATGGTCCCGACTGGTGCGATTGCAAATTTTCCGCATCTCGCGTGTCAAAGGAGATAATTTATTGCAATTGAGATATTGCAGGCGCCTCGGGATCGCGGCCACAACACCTCGCATAAATAGTAACGCGCGACGGATGAACCACGTCCTCCTATCATCTCGACACCAAATAAAATTATGATCATGACCATTCGGTACCGGTAAGTTAAATATTTATATGAAACTAGACTTTGAATACGTTTTCGGTACTTCGCGATATTTTAGGTGTGATGTGATCTAACACTTTTTTACCCATAAAATAGTCTGATGTGTGAAAGTAATAAACTGAGAATTTTATCGATAGCCAGATGATGCGCTATTGTTGTTCTTGTGATTCGCTTGACAAACATGAAAAAATTCAGGGCACGTTCGTTAATTTTTTTGCACAAAGGCAGGTGTGAATGAGCTCAACAATTAGCAACCAAGCGAACACAATAGAAACAGATGTGACGCGCCTACTTTTATAGCCACGCCATACAATTTGGAGTGATATCTTATTGTTATTTAATGAAACGGAATTTGAATACGAGAATATGCGAAAGAGCTCCTAATAATAAGTAAGAAAGGATCCGTTTAAGTTATTGATATAAATCATAAAACGATATCCTATATTAGACCCGAAACAATTTGATAAATGAAACAGGGCGTCAAGAAAATTGGCAGGTCCACAAAATGCATAATGTGCAGATGTTTATTTTGATGAAGGGTTTAGGGCTCAACGGCAGAAATTATATCGAAATCGTTTAACTGAATTAAAGGTTGATTCGAATGATGTTACCTGGAAATGATAATTATGCTCTACCAACTAGGTAATATGCCAAACCTTGCGTGTCTAACGCGAGATACATTTTAATATGATTATTAAATTAATGGCATTTCCTACAGATACAACTCATTTTAATATTATTTATTATACAGTAGCGGTGGTGGAACTTTCAACGCCTAAAGGCTTCAAGAATGGCAAATGTATCAGTATTATATCTAATTACTGTCAGATAATAGGAAAATTAGGTTTTCCATGCACCACAACAATAAATAAATTAGATTTTCATTGTATAAATGTATACGTACACAATGAGTAATTTATTATAACATTGTGCACGTTTTAAATGAAATCTGTACAATTCTTTAAGATTTTAATACAATTATTTATAGTATTTTTATATTATGAAACAGTTTTAAAAATGTTTTTTTCTTTCTTAGTACCATACTTAAAATAGTAACATTAAAATATCCAGAAAAAGAGTTAAAAATGTTAGCAACATAGTAAATACCTCCCATTAATTTCATTAGCGATAGTGAGTAAACAAAATGTCAACAGTCATCAAATGTCTGCAATACAATTCTATCAACGGGAGTGTTAACAAGCAGTGACTGTGGCAGTGCGCCCGCGCACTACCTGGCCAGCTGCCTCGAGCCCCCACCAAACTATGCGCGTCTTACCCCTCTACCATCCCTCTGTCCTTCTCGCACACACCGTATCAAAGCTTGCTCGAACATCACAAAAAGCGGTTTCGTTCTATGGTGGTGTGTACCGCATGTATTTGTGTGTGTTCAGTATATTTTTCTGACAAGCTTCGTGACAAAGCCGAAAGAGCCATACGCGAAACAGGCTCGTAGGTGCTTACGGCGTTTTAACTCTAGGCGTGAATTTACCTGTTGGAACGCGTGAACCGGCGCGGCCTTGTGCGCGAGCGCACCGCAGGTTTGACTGCGACTCAGTTCCACCCCAGACCTCAGCGCGGTCGCTCGCGTCACGTGCATCTCTGTTCAGTAGGTTGCGGACGCACGATCCTATCCAATTAGTGTTCTCGCGAGAAACGAGTTAAGTGGCCGGTTCGACTAGTGAAGTTCTCGACTGCGAGGCGAAATAAAATGAACTAGTGCGCTGATAAAGCGATGTTGTTGTGGAATGTTAGTGCGAAAGGATGATCAGTAAAACTATGTAATACAAAGTGATAACAGTGAAACAAAACAATGTACCTCACACGGTTTACGTGCGCCTTGTTGGTGCTAACCACCTCTGTAACTGTAAGGGGTGCATCTTTATCGGCGGGTACACGGTACCAGGCACCCGATGAGTGCGGGTGGATGACGGATTATGATGGTTCAGGAGTTGCGTTACAGTGTAGGTTAAGAACTATAAACAGCGAATTGGAGAACACAAACTTTAGTGCAATTCAACCACATCCTACAGTCAGGCTGCGTCTCGAATGCAGCGATGCGTTGTTCTTTCAAAGTAGCCTTGCTCCGGGTAGTTTCCGCCAGTTGATTGAACTGCGTGAGCTTACCATTGAATATTGCAAGATTGGAAACCTTTCCGATAGCGCATTCACAGGACTACGGGAATTAAGAAATCTGACAATACGAACACACAATACAGACTGGTCTACAATGTCACTTGAAATAACTCCTAGCGCTTTTTCTAGAGACGTACAAAACTTGGAACGATTGGATTTGAGTGAGAATAACATGTTAGTATTCCCAGAAGGTGCTTTGTGTACATTACGGAATTTGGAATACTTGAATATGACTGGTAATAGAATGAGAGACATCAGTCACTTTCAATTCTCTTCGGCACATCGACATCCGACGGAGAAATGTGGAGATAACTTACTTGTTCTAGATCTATCCCGAAATGTTATCGACACCCTACCTCCTAATCTTCTATCAGGATTACGAAGACTACAAAAATTATATTTTCAAGGCAATGGATTGAATTCTATCGCAGACAGAGCTTTAGAGGGCCTCATCTCATTGACCACGATAAGATTCTCGGACAATCAACTCACAAGTTTGCCTCCAGAACTATTCAGTGACACGAAAGAATTGAAAGAAATATACTTAAACAATAATACTATCACAGTGTTAGCACCTGGATTATTTAGCGATTTAACACAACTTTTAGTATTAGATTTGTCTTACAACGAACTAACTTCAGACTGGATTAATACTTCCACTTTTTCTGGGCTTAAAAGGCTAGTCTACTTGGATTTCTCCCACAATAGAGTATCCAAAATGGAAATAGCACTATTCAGAGATTTACATAACTTGCAAACATTAAAAATGCAAGATAATTTTATTGAACACATTCCAGAAAATGTATTCAGCTCGCTAAGCAATCTGGATACATTAACATTATCAAACAATAGACTTACCAATATAGAAAGCTATGCTTTTATGGGCTTGCGAGTGCTATCTGTTTTGTCTATAGACAGTAATCGCATATCCAAAATACACCCACATGCTTTACGGAACTGCACTTCATTACAAGACTTGCACATCAACGGAAATCGACTCGATGAAGTGCCACTAGCATTGAAAGAAATACCGCAATTGAAAACCCTTGATTTGGGAGAAAATCTTATCGTCAGCATAGAAAATGCATCTTTTATGACAATGGAACAAATGTACGGGTTACGACTAACTGAAAATAATATCGGCAACATCAGTAAAGGCGTTTTTGACAAAATGACTTCACTTAAAATTTTAAATTTATCCAGAAATAAAATCCACAAGATCGAAGCCGGTGCATTTGATGCTAACGTGAATTTGCAAGCGATAAGACTAGATGGAAACTACTTGACAGACATCGGCGGACTTTTCGCTAAATTGCCTAATTTAGTGTGGTTGAACATTTCTGATAACCGACTGGAATGGTTCGACTATGCAATGATCCCAACTGGATTGCAGTGGCTGGATATTCACGCTAACAGGATCGCTGAACTTGGAAATTACTTTGAGATTGAATCGCAACTATCGCTCAGTACTTTCGACGCTAGTTCTAATAAGTTAACAGAAATAACTGGAAGTGCAATACCAAATTCCGTAGAAATGTTATATTTAAATGATAATCTAATCTCAAAAGTGCAATCGTACACATTCTTCAAAAAACCAAACTTAACAAGAGTCGATTTATATGGAAATAGAATAACTAGTTTGGACCCAAATTCATTGAGAATATCTGCCGTGCCACAGGATAAAACGGTGCCAGAATTTTTCATAGGCGGTAACCCACTGGAGTGTGATTGCACAATGGATTGGCTTCAAAAAATAAACACTGGAAACAGAGCTAGAACACAGCCAAAGTTGATGGATTTAGACAGCATCAACTGCAAACTGTTGTACAGTCGCGGGAATGCACAAGTGGCTTTGATTGAAGCTGCACCACACCAGTTTCTGTGTAAATATGAATCACATTGTCACGCACTATGTCACTGTTGTGATTTCGACGCATGTGACTGTGAAATGACTTGTCCTAATAACTGCACCTGTTACCATGACCCGTCTTGGTCAGCAAATGTTGTTGATTGTGCAAACTCTGCTTATGTAAATATGCTGCCGGAGAAAATACCAATGGAAGCTACAGAACTGTACCTCGATGGTAACGATATCAAAGTATTACCGAGCCACGCATTTATAGGCCGTAAAAAATTGAAGATTTTATTTTTAAATGCATCAAATATTGAGACGGTTCACAATCGAACATTCAATGGGTTAAAGGAATTGGAAATATTACATTTGGATTTTAACAGTATCTCAAATCTCGAGGGTCAGGAATTTGATGGACTCGACAACTTACGAGAATTGTACATCAATAACAATAAAATTAAACGCATTGGCAAAGAAATGTTTAATCATATGGCACGCTTGAAAGTGTTACATCTGCACCATAATAGACTCGTAACGTTGACAGTGTGGCAAATCAATCCTGCGATAACCGAAATTACACTTTCATTTAATCCATGGTCATGTGATTGTGAGTACACCGAAATGTTCCGTGAGTGGACAAAAAGAGTGAGCTCAATAACAGATCTGACAGATATTAAATGCATCTACTCGAAAGGGAACTCTACTGAACTGACAGTTTATAATGAAAGCGTGTATAGTGAGCCGGACAGCGGATTTAAAATTACTAGTGAAAACGGGACGTTGTGTACTGGATTGCCAAGTATCAATAACAGCATCAATGGTAATTTAACTGCCACTCGAACAATAATCACTAACGAAGAAGTACAAGACTACATACCACTGTTAGTTGCCACTCTCGGATGCTTTTTACTTGTATCCTTAGTGAGTATGATTATTTTCATATTTAGGCAAGAAATGAGAGTGTGGTTCCATTCGAAATTTGGCGTACGATTGTTTTATAGAACTACCGACAGAGAAGACTCAGAGAAGATGTACGATGCATTCTTGTGCTACAGTTCCAAAGACGAAGTTTGGGTGACTGAAGAACTTGCATCCATGTTGGAGCGTGGTGACCCTTCATACAAACTTTGCTTGTATTACCGCGATTTATCCGCCCACGTGACAGAGAAGATAAGACAAGCGGTTGAATCTTCGCGTCGCACAATCATGGTGCTCAGTGAAAACTTTCTAAGATGTGAGTGGGTGCGTTATGAACTAAAATCGGCTCTCCACCAGGTACTGAGGGACCGGCGAAAAAGACTGATTGTAGTGTTATTAGGGCAAGTGCCTCAAAAGGATTTAGATCCTGACATAAGACTGTATTTGAAAACGAATAAGTGTCTCCACGCGGACGATCGACTGTTCTGGGAAAAACTAAAATTTGCGTTGCCCGATGTGCGCAATAATCCGAGGTGCCGCGGTGTGCCGAGCCCCGTGGTTAGCGGCGGCTTGCCCATGCACCGACACCACCACGCCAGGAACCACTTGGGCATGCTGCCGCAACCGCCGGTGCACGGCGCACACCCTGTGCTCCCACCACACCCCTCTCATACTTCTCACCAAGTGCCACCTCGTGCGTCTCCTCGCACTATGTCCGTCCATGTGTAAAGTGTAAATGAACTGCTAAAATGTGACTCTCAGTGAAAAAGTGATTTTAAATACGAATGAAGTGATCAGAACATTAAAGTGACTGTTCTTTTAAAATTGTGATGGCTAGTCGGTTAGCGTTTATAAACTGTAAATAATTAAAATACTTGTAGACATAGTAATGTAAATACGCCTGACTTTGTATATGTTTAGATACTAAGCTTACAAAAATCATGTGTTTAGAACGTTAGGTATAAAATGGTCTGTTGTAACAACATTGTTGTAATCACAATGTCTGTCATATAATATGTGATCTGAGCTTAACTAAATCGATGTATAAATAAGTAGTTGTATGAGTTAGGCCTATTTAGGCTGTGTTTGTTGGGCAAAACTTGCCGACTACTATTAATTAAAATGGCAATACTGCCGCAATCTGTGATAAAATTAGATATAGTTAGCATTCATTTTATATCACATTAATGTATATTTTGTATTGTAGTCTGAACTAAACGAATATTTATTGTGGAAAACATCAGCAAAAACGTGAATTTGGAAAAAAATATAAATGAAAATAAAATACGATTCAATCTTAACAAGTTTCTTTTACTTTCATTAGAATACAATTACCCGCGTCCTTATCACAATAATTACAGTACACAACGTACACATTAGACATGCCTAGGTAATTAGACCTCGTTGTTTTAAAATTATATTTCTCAACGAAATTAGATACAGAAAATACACAATCAAAGTATACATTTTATTAAAACCTATTTTAAAAACGAATGTACTTGATACTTTGACGCAATATCATAAATTAAATAACTGAAACAATAAAATAAATAGAGATTTTTATTATACACACATTTTTATTATAAATTTTATGCATCACCATATAAGTAATTTTTAATTTATATAGATAAATGAAAATTGTTAAATTAAATTACCGTTATTGTTAACGATACTTATTAAAAATGAAGACATTAGTAATAGATTTTTTCTGTCCTAAAAACTTATTTTTTGTCATTATTTATTAATCAATTTACTTATTAGCTATTATGCAATCTAACCACTATTATGGGGTATTCTTATAAGTTTTAATACCATGCTATTTCAATACGTTCAATAATAATAAAATACGTTCTATATAAAAAGGTTAGAAATTATTAGGTACAATTAGATGGTAAATCAAGAATAGTTTTGTAGGTAAACAGACTCAGCAATTAGCAAGAATGTGCAGAAACGCAGCGCCTACGCATGAAACCATATATTCCGTAAGTGATACTTTACATTTCTAATGCGAACCTAAGCCTATTTTATACATACATAAATTCGCCCAATTATGTAATTCTGACAATAATTACCATATTACTCAAAATAAATAAAATTTTATTAGTTGTTAACACTTTTAAATAACTAAAAAGGTAAAGAAGGGATATAAATATGAAAAAGTGACTTGTGTTGTGAAGTAATTAAAATCTAGACACAAGAACTATAACCGATTAAGAATAAATTTATTTTACGATTTTTCATTGACTTGATTTATGGAAGATTCATTGATAAAAAAACATGAACTTTGTCTGTGAATATTAATCTTTTTTATTATCTTATTAAAATACTAAACAGATAATTATACGAGAAACAACATTGAATAATCTCATAATATTGCATGTATTCTAACTTTCCTACACTGCAATGTGATGAGACTATAGCCCTATAGAGCAGCGTATAGCACATAGCTAAGTGGATAGGCGTGAGCATGCGAAGTTTTTTGCTACAGGATCTGTATAGAGTCGGCCGACGACCGCGGCCCTTCAATCTGAGGTAACGAGCCCTCGGCTCACACCTAAGCAGGCGCGAATGAACCCACTGGACGGCCGAACGCCTGAACAAAAGGATGGCGCGTTTACACCTTGTTCGCCGATTGGATTTACAAGCGTTTTACAGCCACAAGCGATGTTTTTATTGTTAACAATGATTAAGGAGGCTGCTAAAATACATTGATGAAGTTATTAAATACTTTAAATACTTAATTATGTTTACAACTCTTCTTATGTACGAGAACAGTAGCTGCTTGCTGTATTATTGTTGTTCATGTTGTAAGAGTCATATTATCTTCAGAAGCTATTCTAAGTAAAAAATTCAAATTCAAATTTTAAGTTAGAAATACAATATCTATCTACAATGACATGTCGAAGACATAGTTCTTATAAGATATTCTTTTCTCATTTTCTTATTGGATTACATACATAGGACATGAGTTTACAAATGAATGTGCCAATTTATATCAATTACTATATTTTTAATTATCTTTATATTACACTAGGATCAACGTAACATTCAAGAGAACATGTAAAACATAGGCACTTTTATGATTTATTTAACTTCAGATAGACAGTACCATGTACGCACATACATTTTAAAGAAAGTCTACTACTTGTAGAACCAGATGGCAGAACGGTAATGCAATAAAGTCTTGATTATAAAGTGCTACAAGTTCCAGTTTTCCTCGTTAGGCAAGTTACAATAAATATTCTACATTTGTGACATTAATATAGCGTAGAGAATTCAATACATTATTCGAATGGTACGGTTCTGATTTTATCTGCGAAATGTTTTCAGTTTTGAAAATAATATATAATTATGCTCTTAATTTATCGGCTAATTGTAACAATTCTATCCATACTAGTTATTTACAAAGAATCCATAATTAATTATTTAGTGTTAATATATAGCAAGCGGAGCTTGATAAACCATTTTAATTAAAAACTTTTCGCATCTTGCACTTGGAGAATTTTTCATGCAGAGATTGTAGCAGGTTTATATATTTTATATGAAAGTTGAATAAAACAGTTCAATAAAACGTTTATTTCTGTAATTCGATAGATATTAAGGTTGAGCCTTAAGTTCATTAATTAGAATTTTATCTTCAGAAACTGTATCACAAATAATTTATTGTGTTCTGATTGTATAGTCATACGTACATAATAACATTCAATTTTTTGTGTGTTAACCTTCATAGAATTTTTCTCAGGTTTAAGGAATACCAATGGACTCATAAAGCCTGTATAAGATCATAATGTATTGGATTCATTGCTTATTTGAGTATAGAAACGGAGCTGAATAATGATCGCTCACGAGTAGCATAGTAAATCGATTATTAAATCGATTCTCGGACGTTGCAAATAAAAATAAGGTGCGGTAACCTACTACTACTACATATGTAGAGTTGTTAGCTCTTTCTCAGTTCAAAAAACCGTACGATTTTTACTATTTTTCAAAGGCATGGTGATCATTCCTTTTGTTAGAAATTCCTTCATAATACGAATAGTTCAAATATTGATATGTGTGTCTATGTTTGTAAGCTTGTTCTATCTAGTGGTCCAGTCAAGGGTAACGATCCCCACTCGGCCACGGAACCTGAGAAAACGGCTGCTGCGGTCTTCAGAGATCAATCGAGTTTAAACCAAACCAATTTGGAATAAAACTTATATTTTGAAGTATAAAAGGAATGTCATAAATAAGTAATACTTTAATTGAATGATAACATTGGTTAACAAAATATATTACAAAAGTTTATCATGTAAAATGTACTTATTTTTGTGTTAAGTGGTATCAAACATCAAGATATACAAACAATGAGGAATCGCGGTTAATAAATAGTCGCGCTCTCAGTCACCAGCCTCCATAAATTAAGCTAGAGAATAACACACAAGTGAAAAAAATAAAAACTAGACGCCGCGCTGTGTACAACATTAATCAGAGCTCTGAGAAGGCGTAGAGAATTTATTTTACGATTGTTACAGCACCGATGAAACGTTAAAAATGCTGTCGGAGCTATATTGAAACATTCGATGCATTGTTCGAGCCCGATTGAGTCGATAACGCACCGCGGTTCCGACTTATAGTCCCCCTATAGCACCTTGTTGATTTTCCAACGTAAACTGTCGGATACGACCCGCCCGTAACTAGTTTCTTTTTTATTAGTACTGGTTTAGTGTAGAACGGAACGCGACTCCGTATCGATCGTACGATTAAACCACTAGATATCATAATCACCGGTCTGCGCGTTTATCGAAAGTATAATCGGAGAGCGGCAATAAATTTGTCTCATTTTAATATCCTAGAGCGTGTAATGTTCCGCCATAACCGTTCTCGATGTTTGGACTTAAATCTCATTAGAGGCGCGAAGGGGAGAAGCCGAGCATTGAGCCCGCCCGCGCCCGTCATACGAAAGAGTTCAACGAGGTGCCGCCCTGCCGTATCCATAGTACTCGTGGAGCCTAAACTAATACTACACACCACTTCATTATGTATTCAAACACTCCATACGATTAGTAACGTCAGATATGAATGGCACTGACCAGTTTTTCATTTCCATTAAAATGAAAAAGAACAAACCAGTATAACAGTCGTTCTTAAAACAATATAAATTGATATTCCCAACGCAATTTTGAAATCAAATTAACTTTTTTTTGTCGGGTTGTTAAAAGCGGTACTGTTAAAACATAACGGTACTTGATAAGATGTTCGCAAAATCAGCTTCGGCGATGTTGACTGAGCTGTTAAGCTTGACTATAAATACGAGTGTTAATCTCTCTCGTTAACGTTATGAGCTCCAACCTGTTATTTTGTACTGCTATTACGAAACCAAACAATATCACGTGCTGGTTTAAATGTGTTCCGTTGTGACTCACCAAACTAACGATCTTCATTGGACGCGAAACAATTTTGACGCAAATTATACGCTGTTATAAGCAACAACGTTAATTAAGTTGCCTGCATGAGATTAATTTGATTATCAAATTCTTATTTCAATTATGTTCACAGGCAGTTATTATTTCAACGAAGCTATTTGTTTTAACTACGTATCTTGAAATTAACGGATAATAATCTAGTCACGTCGTGAGACGAATGTACTTTGCATTAACCTCTTTTCGACATAAAAGCTACTACAATTATGAAAATGACTGCGGACCTATCACGTGTTGTGTTGTAACTAGACCGTCATTCTTAAGAAACTGAACATGTTGAGAAACTAGCAACAGATTTATGATTCTAATTTAACTAAGTAGGTGCGTAATGAGATTGAGATGTATCGTCTACAATAAATTAAACCATACCTTATTAATGTTTATTCTCACACACCTAAAAGAAAGGCATTACTATGATTCTAATCACTTTTTAGAAACCTAGTTAAAAATCTTATACCGATAAACATACTTGTTACATGTTTATTTTACACATATTTTGCATATCTACTTATAACTTGTAATAAAAAGTTATTCAATTGAAACATGAACGGCTTTATACACGAATTCGTCATGCCTTGTTATAATGAACGGCTCGAACATTTCTCGCCTAAACAAATGTAGTGGACGAGGCGTAAAACGACCAATAGAATCGCTTTGTTTGGTCTTAAGTGGTCCGAGTGGTTACTTTAATTACTTATTGATACCCACTTGAGCCGGTGAGTGTGTAAAGCCGGCATCAAAGCACAAACAAGGCCAATACAACTATTACTAATAAACAAAGTTAATACACAGTTTCCTATTAAATGACATTCATACGATTGCACAATGGAAACGCTAAAAGTGAAAAAGTTCGCATCCTGAAAGCGAATAATAAAAGTTGCGAACTATACCGTACGTTGTATGACAATTTGACAACACACAGTTGCTGTTATCTGCATTTGTTAAACGTTCTGAAATTTAATATGCGTCACTATGTCCTCGTGTGAAACGAATTAATTTAAA